TTGCTCAATGAAATACTACCTGATTGGAAGTGTGCTGGTTATCAGATATTCATTCGTCGACTCCCGGGTCCCGGAACTTGGAAGTCGGTACGGTTGACCCAAATTTGGGTGGTCGGAACTTGGCGTCTCATAGGGCAACACAAGCTTCACACCCTGGATTCCAAATTCTGCAAGACAACCTGTGCACCATCAAAGGCCATGTCAGGAGATCACCTGCTGCTCCGGGAACTCAGGAACTTTGATTTATTACCTCCTCTGAGTACGGTTGACCCAAAGGTTGGTAATCGGAACTTGGCTTCTCATAGGGTAACACAAGCTTCGCACCCCAGATTCCAAATTTTGCAAGACAACCTGTGCACCATCAAAGGCCATGTCAGGAGATCACCTGCTGCTCCAGGAACTTGGTAACTTTTATTTTATTACCTCCTCTGATTTGGTTGATGTACAACTACCTCAGCTCCATCGTGTTTACAATTATGGTACACATGGGCCCACCCATCTATATTGTATACCACCCTCGGCCCACCGGTCTAATACAACATCCCATACAACACCCTCGGCCCACCGGTCTAATTAATATGCGTCTGGGCCCACCCATATAATACAATATTGTATAATACCCTTGGCCCACCCGTCTAATTTAATATGTGTCTGGGCCCACCCGTGAATGTGATAACAAGTACCTACCCATCTATCTCATACACATCTACCTTAATACACCCATCTGCATAATATCCAACTACCTCGGCCCACCCGTCTACCTAATATTCATGTACATCGGCCCACTCATCTACTCTATATATCCCCTGCATGGGCCCACCCGCCTCCATCGGGAATAATTTGCCTCCCGGCCCATCCGTCATAGTCGAGGATATTTTTATCATGGGCCCATGGTCCGCTGGCCCGTATCATATGGGATATTATGCATGTCCGTTCCCTCGTATTATACGGAAATAGGTCACTGTAATATGTGCCACCCGACTTGCCTGCATATTGGGGCCCACCTTGACTGGCCCGATCTGCGGGAATGTGCATGTGCTGGGCCAGTTCGGGCCTTCCAGATATTGGTGCACTGGGCCTAAACCTTACCATCTGGACCGATCCGCATATTGAATGTGAGGACTGATTGGGCCCTTCCGGATGCTTGTGTACTGAGCCGATCCGCACCTGAATTTGTTATGTGCTGGGCCAGGTCTTGCATATTTGACCCATCTGCACACTGAATTGGTATCTACTGGGCCCAAAATAACCAGTTGGCCCATCCACTAACCCTTCCCAGTATTGTGATGGGCCCAGGAATAACCGGTAGGCTCACTTGTGCCCTCTTCCGATACTGTCAATAACCAGCTGGGCTCATCCGTAAGTTATTCCGATACGAGCTGAGCCCATTCGCCAGCCATGCCTGATACTATTATGGGCTCAAAATTTTCCTGTTGGCTCTTCTGACATCAAATTTCCCCAAGAATAAGTAGCTAGGCCCATCCGTACTCCCCTTCTGAGATATATAACTGGGCCCATGTACCTTGTGGCCCATTACAATTGTCCCATTCATGCTATGGCATCGACACTTGGCCCATCCGCTAGCATGGGCGCTATTCCACACTGTGGGCCCATCCGTGCATAAGCACACATGGGCCCACATTGGACGGCCCGCCTAACTGGGTCTATTCTCAACCTTTGGCTGTCTGACTAAGTCGAAAATAAAGTACTGAATTATGTGCCATCAGGATTGCCTAATCGGAGGCACCGCTTGCCACAACGCTATCATGATGACCTTCCCCCCATTCCTAACTCTGCACCAGCTCTGCAGCATGAACCAGTGGTAGACGATGGTCCGATTGAGCCTGACATACCTCGAGCTGCAGGTGAAACCAAGTATGTTACTATGGAGACTGACTCATACGGCCTTTTTTGCTCATATCCCAATCACTTCCCGACCTATAATCCCGACAATCTCACCTCAATCTCACATGTATCAGATTCCACTCATTTCGTCCTTACAGCAGACCAGACAGGTGCTCGACCCTGGTGGTCTGGGTTCGGCTCCTCTGTCACATCAGCAAAGGACTTTTTCAGAACATTCTTGAACTCCACCATCTTTCGTTTGATGTGCTGGTTTTATAGCGGGTCAAATATGAAATCACTAGCAGAGCTTGACCGTCTCATGAATGAGGTCATCCTCACCAAGGACTTCGATAAGGCCCACCTCACTGGGTTCCGAGCCACAAAGGAGGTCGACCGTCTCGACAACTACCAAGGAGACCCTGCAGATATTCGTTTATCATTCCTGAGTGCGGATGGATGGATAGAGACGACAATTAAAATTCGACTACCAGCTGATGGTGTCCAGCACACATTGGAAACATCAGCACCAGAATTCGAGGTCCCTGGACTATTCTACCGTCGTCTGCTTGAGGTTATCAAGTCTGCATTTCGCGAGGCATCTGCAGAGTGCTTCCATCTAACCCCGTTCAAAATGTTCTTCCAACCATCGCCCAACGAACCTACGGAGCGTGTATACTCCGAAATCTACTCTTCACAGGCTATGCTCGAAGCACACGAGGCCATCAAATCACATCCCCCTGATCCAAGTTGCAAGCTTGAGACTGTTGTTGCTGCTGTCATGCTTTGGTCAGACTCAACGCATCTCGCTAGCTTTGGGAGTGCGTCATTGTGGCCTATATACTTGTTCCTTGAGAATCAATCCAAGTACATTCGTGGAAAACCTTCGTCCTTTGCTGCACACCATCTAGCATATATACCCAAGGTGAGCCTAATGTTGATCCTTGCCTTAATCTAATAATCTAATTCATTATGTTTTTTTCCAGCTCTCCGATACCATTCAGGACTTTTATCGCCGTGTGTTTGGCAAGCCTGCTACAGCAGAGATGTTGACCTACTGCCGTCAAGAATTAATGCAAGCCATATGGCTTCTTCTAATGGACAACGACTTCATGCATGCTTATGAATTTGGTATTGTCATTGAGTGCCTTGATGGAATTAGTCGACGAGTCTTTCCTCGATTTTTTTCATACTCAGCTGACTACCCAGAGAAGTACGTGAAAATACTGACATTTCTATGTCTATTAACGTGGATACATTAGAACCCTTCTGTCTTGCATCAAATTCCTTGGTCAATGTCCCTGTCCCCACTGCCTGATTCGAAAGGACAACATCGGGGAGCTGGGTACAAAGGCTGACAGGCACCGACACGAAAACCATCAGCGCCAGGACAGTGACGGCTTGCAAGGCAAGATCAGGATGGTCTGTGACTGGTTATACATCAAGGGTAGGAATATTACAAGCATCTTCATTAAATGGGTACTTGTTCCAGATTCACTCACTGCCTCTATGGTGCGAGTTTATCTCAACTCGAACTTCACTGTGTCTTTCTGAGTGCTGAGTGTATACACAGAACACATTTTCAACACGACTCAGGCGGTTTGGCTTCAACTTTTATTCACTCTTTCTGCCCGACTTGCTTCACGAGTTTGAACTTGGTGTCTGGAAGGCAGTCTTCACCCATCTCCTTCGTATTCTGTATGCATATGGTGAAGAGAGAATACAAAGATTGAATGAAAGGTAGGAAACACAGTGTTTCATGTGGCGAGTTGCTAAATCCTCACATCACCATCCAGGTATCAACAAGTCCCAACATTTGGACGAGGCACAATTTGGCATTTCAGTAGCAACACATCAGCAATGAAATGTCTCGCTGCTCGAGATTTTGAGGACTTACTGCAGGTGAGTGCACTGACTTGAAGCTGATTGTCATCTGACTTTTTGTTTAGTGTGCAATGCCTTTTTTCGAGCAGCTCCTTCCATCACCCTTGAATGAAATGCTGCTCAACCTCCTCTTTGAGCTTGCAACATGGCACGGACTCGCAAAACTTCGACTGCACAGTGATACCACTCTTGGATCTCTCGATACCTCAACAATATGCCTTGGAAAATCTCTTCGGAAATTTATGTCCAAGACTGCGAAGAGATTCATGACTCGTGACCTTCCTAGCGAGGAAGCTGCCCGTGGGCGTCGCAAGGCCCGAGCAGCTGCAAAAGGTGGTAATACATCCTTGAGAGCTAATGCAACAGGCACTTCCACTGGAGTTAAGGCTCAATATTTTAACTTTATGACCTACAAGCTGCATGCACTCGGGGACTATGTCTCTGCAATTAGACATTTCGGTACCACTGACAACAATTCCACTCAACTGGTATGTAGGTGCTCTAAATGTTGTTGTCTTTTTTTAATACTTGATACAGGGTGAACTTGAACACTGCCGCGTGAAACATTTTTACCCGCGTGTTAGTAAGGCAAAGTTCACGTCCGGCATTGCAAAACAACAACGCCGAGAGAGAATTCTATTCCGACTGGCAGAGCACGAGTTGCCTTCAAAGTCGAAGAAAGGCAAAGCAAAGGTCACTGACAAGCGCCAGCGCCACACCACAAACAATCTATTGAAGGACCTTCCAAGCATACCTTTCGAAGCATCCGAGCTATTGGCATACTCCGATCCAAAAGCACACTACCATATTGCCTCAAGTACAAGATATTTTTTGAATGTGCAGCAGTGGCTTGGGAGGCATTGAGAAGATCGTGCATTGGAGGTGATTCAACCATTTATAGTGTTTGATTTGATCTGAGAGCTGCCCTGTCAGGATTTTCTTCCTCGACTTAAGGATCATCTCCTTGCCCGAATCCTCGGACATCAATATGACGGTGATGAAACTGAGTTCAGCGCAACTCAACGAGCCCATGTTGTGTTTGTAAATGATCGTATTTTCCGTCATAAGGTACTTCGCATCAACTACACTACATATGACCTTCGCCGGGCTCAAGACTCACTCAATCCATGAACTCATGCTGATGTGATGGTCCTCGCACATGAGGATGACCATCCATATTGGTATGCTCAGATTCTAGGTGTTTTTCATGTGAATGTCGTCTACACGGGCAATAATACACCTAGCTTCAACTCACCCCAGCAAATGGATTTTGTATGGGTCAGATGGTTTGGTCGCGACCCGAACAATTATCAGTAAGGCTGGAAGGTGAAACGTCTTCACCGACTTGGATTCATACTGCAGACGAACCAGGTGCATTCGGATTTCTCAATCCTCATCAAATCATTTGTGGTGTCCACTTAATCCCTGCATTTGCCTATGGCCATACTGATGAACTTTTACTGCCTTCGATTGCCCGTCCTCTTCATGAAAATAATGAAGATTGGAAATTTTACTATGTGAATATGTGAGTATCATAGACTCAGTATAGTGATTCTGTATTAATGTACCTTCTTGCTATAGGTTTGTTGACAGAGATATATTCATGCGTTTCTGTGGTGGGGGAGTCGGTCACAGGTCAACTCATAATGCAACACAAACATTTTGCAATGACCGTGATCCTCTAGATTGTGTTGCTCGCCGAAATAACGCAGACTCTGAGCAAGGCGAGGGAGCATCCGAGGAAGACAAAGAAGCATCCGAGGATAAAGTTGAAGCCTCATCCAAGAACGAGGAATCATCTGCAGATCGTCAACTTGAGGCATCTGAGGAATATGAAGATGATGGACCCCCACTGGAGGAAGACGAAGAAGACGGACTGTCCGAGTCTGCTGTTGATCAGGATGAAGACGAAGTTGTTGAATTAGAGATGGAGGAGTATGGTTATGGCGGACTAGATCAAGAAGAGGAGAACACTGACGATGAAGCTGACGCCGATCAAGATGATAGCAGCAGCGACAATGAAGACAATGATGCTGATGATGATCTGGGACCTGAGGATGGAGAAGACGAGAACGGAGAGGAGCTCGAGGGGTATGGAGAGCTTTAATCATAACTTCCTGGCAGTATAATGTATCATGTACTGTAATTGTAGAAGGTATGTGATATATCCACACCTTTGATCCTTAGACAGTGATGTATCAGCCTCTGTCACCTATACCAGTTGTCCGTTATATACCAGTTGTCTGTTATATATCATGCTACTATTGAGTGATGTATCAGTATGTATCTATACCGGTTGTCCATTATATATCATGCTACTATCAAGTGATGTATCAGTATGTTTCCTGTATTGTTATATATCATTGTTTCTTGTATCATCATATATCATTGCCTTGTGACTCAGCGAGTGATGTATCCCTGTATCGGTGATATATCAACTATTGAGTCATGAGTCATGAGGATGATATATAACAATACAGGATACATCACTCGCTGAGTCATGAGGCAATGGTATATATGATATATCACGATACAGGGATACATCACTCACGAGTGATGTATCCATCGTGATATATCATATATACTATTGCCTTGTGACTCAGCGAGTGATGTATCCTGTATTGTTATATATCATCCTCATGACTCATGACTCAATAGTTGATATATCACCCCTAGTAGTATGTCATAAAACATATATTACAAACCTCCGTCATAAACAAAATTGCCACCATAAACAAATTGAACATATGCTAAAGTACTTGTATCAGTCTACAGGATGCTCATCCCACAATGACCTGAACCATGCAGACATTCTCTGACATAGCATTGCCTGGCGATGTGCATATGCAACCGCGCCCTCTGTGAATGCAGGTGATAAAAATTGCCGTCGTGAGCCTTGTGCGTCCCACCATCGAGCCTGCCACTCAAAGAAAGAAAGAACGTGGTGCATTTCCTCACAAAGAAGTTGTACTTCCTCCTCCTACCAATGAGCCCACGCCCGTGCCTTGCACCATTCCACATGCAATGCTACAATATATTAATCAAGCGATGCACGCAGTCAAAATCAGAGACTTACAATCCTGCAGCCCTTCCTCCTGATTGTTTGATACCCCGGGTGTTTTCCATATCCACGAAATATTCTGTTGGCCAACTGTCTTCCCTTTGTCGTGATTTAGTGGGACCACATCTTTTGCCCTGTCCAGTGGCTTCAGTATCCGCTGCCAGTCATTGTTCTTGCCTAGTTTTGAGGCAAGCATAATAAGTGCGTCTCGGGCAGCAGTGTACTTAGCTGATATTGTATTGATACGACTTTCAGCAGAATGAATAATGCCCTGAGCATGAGTGTTCGCGCACTGACCTTGAACAAAGGTGTTCTTGTACTTGTAGAGGTGGTAGGTCATGTTGATGACAGTGCGGAGGTCATCCAGAGCATCATTTGCCTGTGCCTGACGCAGATCCCATTCAAACCTTAGCAAGCAGTTGTCACAGGGGAAGCTCGAGGGCAGCGAAGAAGGGAGAAAAAGTTGTATCTTGTGGACCTTGTCCTCAGAGGCAATATCATTGAGTGAACACAGGCAGGAGACGTAGGGCATGTACAATAGTTGTACTCGGGACCAGGTGCTGATTCTACGACGGAGGGCATTGATGTGCTGGAGAATCTTAAGTTTTTGCACATCGGTTGCATGCTGTCCGATGGTGCGAGCTTCGAACTCAACACGTCGTCTGTGAAAACACGTCAGCCACAAGCACGATACATGATGCGTGAATACGCACTGCTGATCTTCTAGTTCCATCCCTGATGATATAAGGACCAATGGTGATATATCATCATCCAGGGAGATATGTCCACCATGCTCGATTTCTTCTGCCTCGGCCTTCGATAATGCCAGGCGCACAGCGGCCTGGGTCACAGCTAATTACTCTCAGTGAAGTGAAATATCTGAGATAAAACAATACTCACTAGTCCTCACTTTGACTTTGAATGGATTTGTCAGGGAACGGTCTGACTCCCACATCTCGATCTCTTTCCGCCATGTAGCTAATTGATCTGGATCAAGGGCTGCCTCAAACTCCTTAAGATCAGAGGCACATTCTTCAACCTCAGGTATTGCAGCCTTATATTTACGGAGGAGAGTTGTGCCTGTGAGAGTAACTCCGAGTCAATATTGAATTGTTATTGATAGAACGAAAACTTACCCATGCTGCAAACACTTTGGTCACCCCATTTTGGACACCTCTTAGGTTGATTGCTACCTATAGAGGTTTTCACCTAAGAGGTACTTTTCTGGTGGTCTACCCAATGTTCTGTGGTCTTTCCCTGTTGTTGTTAGGGACCAAAGACCATTGGGAATATGTTGTGGGAGTACCATATGATGATTTGGACCACTTGAATTCCCTATAACGTAGGGGTGTCTGGGGTCTTCAAATGATGATTTTTTGGCAAATTTCCCTACCTTTGTGGATTGCATCTGTGACCTGTGCCCTGCCTCCTAGACCCCCCATAAACATAATGAATCTTTTTTTATATAATTGAACAATATATCAAAATTGTATACTTTGTCCAGACAACCTACAGTCATCTCCAACATGCCAGGCGCATAACCCACAACAGATTTCATTATATACCCACTGGACCCGCTCACATCCTCTGGAAAACTGTCCTATGCCCAGTCCAGTTCCACCTAACACTACTGGTACGTACACTTCAAACCACACACATGTTGGTTCATCACACCCACTCCTCAATGCTCACTCTGCTTGCATCTTGGTAGGGGGCTCCTCCCTGTTTAACCACATTAGCTGCAGTACCTCATGGCCGTTTACATACTATTGGACCCAATATTGTTACTACAACCTTTGTCTATAGTACTCCAGACTTTCACATAGATAGATGAATAGGGATGGCATACCACAGCATTGCAAAAATGATAAGCAGGCGAGACCAGAAGCTTAATGAGAAGGATCGTAGGTGTGATGTGCCTGCAATAGGGAAGACCACAGGCTTAATGGGAAGGACCATAGGTCTAATATGCATGCTATAGGGAAGACCACAGGCTTAATGGGATGGACCATAGGTGTACTATTCATGCTATAGGGAAGACTATAGGCTCATTGGGAAGGACCATAGGTGTAATATGCATGCTATAGGGAAGACCGCAAGCTTATTGGGATGGACCATAGGTGTAATATGCATGCTATAGGGAAGACCACAGGCTCATTGGGACGGACCATAGGTGTACTATTTATGCTATAGGGAAGACCGCAGGCTCATTGGGAAGGACCATAGGTGTAATATACATGCTATAGGGAAGACCACACGCTTAATGAGACAGACCATAGGTGTAATATGCATGCTATAGGGAAGACCGCAAGCATATTGGGACGGACCATAGGTGTACTATTCATGCTATAGGGAAGACCGCAGGCTTAATGGGACGGACCATAGGTGTAATATGCATGCTATAGGAAAGACCACAAGCATATTGGGACGGACCATAGGTGTACTATTCATGCTATAGGGAAGACCGCAGGCTTAATGGGACGGACCATAGGTGTAATATGCATGCTATAGGGAAGACCACAAGCATATTGGGACGGACCATAGGTGTACTATTCATGCTATGGGGAAGACCACAGGCTCATTGGGATGGACCATAGGTCTAATATGCATGCTATAGGGAAGACCACAGGCTTAATGGGACGGACCATAGGTGTACTATTTATGCTATAGGGAAGACCACATGCTCATTGGGAAGGACCACAGGTGTAATATGCCTGCTACAGGGAAGACCACAGGCTCATTGGGACAGACCATAGGTGTACTATTCATGCTATAGGGAAGACCACACACCACCACCACCCCCTTCAATAGACTAATCTGATTAGAATTACTCCATTTCTACTAGGAAGACACCATGTCTGATTCTTCCTGAAGAACAAGTATGTCACTCAGCTACTATGCACACCACCCCCCACCACCCCTTCAACAGACTAATGTGACTAGAATTATTCCATTTCTACTAGGAAGACACCATGTCTGATTCTTCCTGAAGAACATGTATGTCACTCAGCTACTACACACACACCCTTCAACAGACTAATCTGACTGGAATTACTCCATTTCTACTAGGAAGACACCATGTCCGATTCTTCCTGAAGAACATGTATGTCACTCAGCTACTACGCACACCACTCCCCACCACCCCTTCAACAGACTAATCTGACTGGAATTACTTCATTTCTACTAGGAAGACACCATGTTCGATTCTTCCTGAAGAAGAAGTATGTCACTCAGCTACTACGCACACCACCCCCCACCACCACCTTTCAACTGACTAATCGGATTAGAATAACTCTATTTCTACTAGGAAGACACCATGTCCGATTCTTCCTGAAGAAGAAGTATGTCACTCAGCTACTACGCACACCACCCCCCACCACCCCCTTTCAACTGACTAATCGGATTAGAATAACTCTATTTCTACTAGGAAGACACCATGTCCGATTCTTCCTGAAGAACATGTATGTCACTCAGCTACTACCTTCATTTTCTCTCAATTAATGAATACATATGTAGATGTAGCTCAAAAGTACTCCATTGGTTGCTACTAGTGATGTCTCAGCTCTCACATACTTCCAGGTCCATTCAGCAATCAAACACTCTTCATTCTTTGCTCCATCCGTCCCTTCAACACTTTGTCCAGCCCATGCATTACTGCGTGATGGTGAGTGGGTTGGCATTGATGAAGACTGGTATTTGAAACACGTCAAAACAGCTGACTCACGTCCATTGGAATTACAACAATTAATATTTTCATTAGATCCAGCTCAGTCTTCAGCTACAGTCAGTGTGTGTCCAATTTGTTTTTGTTCTCATGGTTGTGACACATTCATTGCCAGGTCACTGCAGACTCCACACCTGTCGACCTCATATCCTTATCACAATCTATTGATAATATCACGCACCATATAGTTCACGGCCTCTCTACCCCATTGGGCAAGATGTACACGTCGCTTTGCCTTCTTGCAAGAGAAGCAGCTAGGCAGACACAGACCTGTAGAAGTGATTCAAGAGTATGAAGCTGAAAGTAGAGAAGCATGAGAGAGCGGAGTCACAAGACATAGACACCATTGATATTGATCTTTATAATGTTGCACAAGTGCAGAAGACTGTGCACATGAGGAAAAACCACACACAGTAATATTCTTCGATATCAGGTTAGTCTAGACAATTGTGATCAGCATGTAAGATAGAGGACAAAACATGAGTCAGGATTACAAAAGCATGTTTGCATACACATAAGAATTTTAACATGAGTCATCGGCATGCAATGAGCAAGGTAAGTCATAGGCAAGTAGTAGCATAAGTCACGACAAGTATCATAGTCGAGATCAGACAATATGACAGGTGGTTATCAAAGCTGTAAACGTCAGTTATACTCAAATTCATCCTCATCTACAAGAGGAAGTAAACGGCGATCCAGGACATGAGCAGGCTGAAGATGTGAGGCATATTGGCGCGAAAATGGAGAGCCCTCAGAGTATGGCACAACTGCCGAATGAGATGGCAAGTGCGTAGTGTTTTGGTTCGGGGAAGGTCCCATGCATGCCTTTGATGAGGCACGAACGTATGGCTTAGGATGACTAGGGAATAGACAACAATTAACACAGTAAGATTGGCAACATGGCAACGACATACTTGTGACCCTTGGTAGACCTCATACCCATGCTTGCCCTGTCCTGCAACATGAAAGTATGTGAGAAATAAAGACAAAGATATAATGCAAAAATACGTACATGGGTCCTGCTCCAATGTCTCGCAGCCACCATTCCCGTTTCAATGTTGTTGGCCTCCCTTGCACTTTCATAATCATCACGAGTCCATTTCCTAGTCTCAGAGGCCATTGAGCGGCGGATATCTTCACGTACGCAGTTGTACTGGTATCGTCCTGCTGCTACATTCGAACCTTGAGGGGTCGCATGAGGAGATGACAGTGGTGGAGATGACGGTGGGAGATCATCGTCGGACTCATCTGAGTGAATGCTGTGATCCAGGAGTTCATCATGGTCAGTGTGAATAGGGACAGGTGGAATCGAGCGCAAAGCCCTATGTTGTGAGCGCAAAGCCCCATGTTGTGAGCGCAAAGCCCCAGAGTTGGAGCGCGGAGCCCGATAGTCGGAGCGCGGAGCTGCGGGGTACAAGCGCGAAGCTTCCTGGTGAGAGCGCGAAGCTCCAATAGAGCATGAAGTCCCTGTATTTAAACGCTCAGTAACATGGGGAGGGAGGTCCTTGATAAATTTCTCCGACTCTTCCAGACAACGTAAAATGACGCCATCTGTGTCGATAACAAGAGGGATTGAGTACACCTCGTGAGAGTATCCAGCGAAGTCTGATAGCTGACCTGTGATGCAAAAAAAATGTTAGTTTATGTAGGGTACAGACTACCTGAATACGCACGAGTCCACCCCTTGATAGATAAGATGACATCGGGCTCCTGCACAACCGTGCCACGAGTTCTGTGATTCTCATTGGACTTCTTCGATTTACCTTTCCGCTTTGTCATTGTGGCTTTCTCTGCATTGTCCTCGTCCTCATCTCGGCCCAACTCAGCCTCATACATGTCGCCGAGATGCTTCCTGAGATATGGACCCACTAAGGCACGTAATTGACTCGCAGACAGCGATTTGAGATCAAAATCAGGGCCAGGGGGTGGAACTCCTGCTGGCCAGTCATGAATGCAAAGTTGCGTAGAGTAAAGAATGTCAAGCATCCTCATCCACCTGCTGTTCAACGTTTTAGAGGGATGACCAGCATCAGCTACCGAAAGCATGTGAGTACACCGACAGCGGAATCTAATAAGACACAAACCAAATGCTTCACTGATGATTAAAGGCGCCACCATGCGATTTCTATCCCTGGTGGATTTGCCGTTGCGCAAGAGGGGAGCATTGGGGACTGCGACAGGTGGTGGGAGAAAATTGAGACTCTTGCCTTCTGCTTGAGCAGCCTCCAAGTCCTTGTATCTGTAACGCATCCCATGTATATTAGTATCACATCCCCTCAAAGAAAAAGACAAAAAAACACACTTTAGGATTGTAGTAAGCTCATCTATCAAGTGCTTTACATCTACTTGTCGAGCGCCAATGAGAGCCTTCACCATATTAGACCCCGCAAAAAAGCCAGAGGCCTGCCGACCAGATTCCTCATCTCCTGGATAAATGGTGATACCAGCGATATGGATTCCGTGGGTGCGGTACCAATATGAAGCCTTCCAAATATTTAGTCATTGATCAAGTCACCGAAGAACACTTACCGATTTCGCAAACACTTCACGAACTGCTGTCATGAGACTGGATGACTCCCGTGATGAAAGATCCTCAGGGCTGGCGACCACGCTATCCCAATGGTGTTGGATTTTCTTCCATAGGGATGCGTGGTTAGGGTCTTTGTACGGGTGGGCATGATAGTGCGCATTTTGCTTGACTTTCCATGATGCCAAGTTCGCTGGAAGGTCATTAATAAACACTGAAACAGTCATGAATACAATAACTTATGTTCTTTGGATGGAGGTAGTACAGTCGGGAACCAGGCTTGATGCTGGTTCCAGGCAGACTCTTTGCGAGTTGCCTTCATCGCTAGTCCTGCCTCGATAAGAATCACCCTCCAGTGTTTCCCAAACTCTTTTCCAATTGCAGTTGCTTCAGCCATAACTCTCTTGCCAAATTCTTCCATTTTCAAAACGCCTTCTTTGGACAGTCTTCCTGCTTTATGTGTGGCCCCATCCCCATCTTCAGACATCTGATCTTCATCGCAGCCCTCGGGATCGGCATCGGCATTGTCACCGTGGTCGTCTGCCACCGCTCGTCCCTTCTGCTTGTCATTCGCAGACAGTCTGAATGGCCTCGCAGGATCATTAGCGCGTTCTGCTTTCTTTCGCTTCTCTTTGAGTTCTGCCCAGTCGCTGTCAGAGTCAGAGCTCTCTGTGGGTTCGCTCTCATGACCAGGAGCATACGATTTGTGGGCACCAGATCTACGTGGGTGAACGGTCGTGGATGCAACTGCGGCAAGACACATTAGTTGCGTACTAATATATATATATATATAGCAAAATTTAAATTTACCTGCAGTCTTCTCCTGTTTATTCGTCGCTGCAGTACCATCACATTCACCGTCGGACGGAACTACAATAAAGCATGTTAGTTGTATACCACGAGACATGCCACAAAACTTACCTGCATCTCTCTTCCTTTCGTTCGTCATAGTAGTGCCACCACATTCAGCGTCAGATAGACCTGCAATAAAATATGTTCGTTGTATACTATGACATGTGTAGTAAAACTTACCTGCATCTCTCTCCCCTTCATTTGTCTCCCTTTTGTTCATCTTAGTAATGCCACCACATTCACCGTCAGATAGACCTGCAATAAAATATGTTTGTTGTATACTACGACATGTGTAGCAAAGCTTACCTGCGTCTCTCTCCCCTTTGTTTGTCACTGCAACACCACCACATTCACCGTCGGATCTCTCCCCTTTGTCTGTCGCTGCAGCACCACCGCATTCACCGTTGGATCTCTCTCCCCTTTGTTTGTCGCTGTAGCACCACCACATTCACCGTCGGATAGAACTGTCATGCAACATATTAGTTATTTACTACAGAATGTTTAGTAGTACTTACGTGCAGTCTGCTCTCTGTGGTTCGTTGCTGCAGCAGGTCAACATTTAAATACATCCCGCATGGGAGCAACACACATACCTGAATCCTCATTGGCAGCATTACTAGTACCATCTTCCTCGAGACCAGCTGTACAACAAAATTTAATGAGAGTTGATAGCGAGTAAAAGACTGAGAGAAAACTTACCTGATGGCACATCACCATCTGCGCCATTTGTGGACCCGTCGGCGGTGTCAGACAACTGGACCTCGGGACCTTCGTTCACGTCACTGCGCTTCTTCCTGCCAAGTGACGAGTGTTTGCTGAAGTTAGAGAAGAAAATATCTTCTTCAGCAGATGATGTCATGGGATCAGAACATTCGGACCTTGGAAGAGGGCGAGCCTTGGGTTGAGGATGCGGCTGATGTTGATTTAGTAGATAATAAAATGACAACTATAAGCTTACACGGTCTTGGTTTTGGGTATTCATGACAGACTTCGGGCCAGCATGAGAGCGAGTTTGCTTTCGCGTAGTATGTGTAGAGGCCTTTAGCAATCAGCAGTGGTTGCAGTGCGAACAATAGGTAACACATTACCTGGTTGTCATCGGCATCAGATTCAGCAGCCTTTTGGTCCTTGAACGTGTAAGTGCGAACATAGTCAGGCGGTGGTGGGGCTTTAGTCCGACGCCCTGAACGGGTAACAAGAGGCATTTGAGACTGCTTCCAACGATCACGAAGATACGAGGAAGATTAAGTTGAAGAACACGAAGTTGCCTCAACAGTTTTATTTCACCGACATGAAGTCAGGTAAAGATACAAAAAGCGTGAAAAAGTTGAGAATGTTAGAGTGAATATAGGAGGGGCTGGAAATTTTGACGGTGTCTGAATATCGTATCACATTATATACAGCGACCAGACTCTATGGAAATAGTTATTGCGTTGATTGAATAATTATCTGGAATGGAACTTACTAGTGTATCAGGGTGTCACCCCCAAATAAAGCTAGTAAATGTGGGCCCTTACTCAGGGATGTGTCACAGTAATATAACAGAGCCAAAACAACGGTTGGAATAGAGTTGAGAGACGATGTGCGGTGTATGAGACGTCGAGTTATAAGTTATGGCAGTATAAAGGCCGGGAAGAGAAGGTAAATAAGATAGTGCGAAGGTACGATATAATGCACAAGTGGTGAAAAAACTGAATCCAGACTTCGATACACAGTAGAGACGCCAGTAGAACCTTCATTTGTGGGGATGACTGCTATTTCCAATGGTAACGGACGGCGTACGAAAGGGACATGTGAGGGTAGACTCACCTATAGAAAATGGAAAGGCGGATGGAATGGACCGCCATAATATGCAGGTATGTGGATGGATGACGATAATGACCTCTGAGGATTTGGTGCGAGGGTATATCACTAGAAGTAGATGTGAGACAAATGTGTACACTCACCGATTAAAGACTGGAAGTGAAGTATGACGCACCAGATTGAATGCACTGTCATAATATGCGAGAAATTAATGATGAGGTTAAAGGACCTATTTAAACAGATGATTAAGATTTTAGCATATTCTGAGGATATGGCACTTACCCGCAAGATGATAGTCACTCAATCCAGACTTAAGTTCTTTCCGATCCTCGGTGGAGTGTACAAAAAGGATATGTGAGGGCAGATCAGTAGAAGTAGATAAGAAATGTGCTCACTAGTGAAAAACTGAAAGAAAAGCACGACACACCGGGCAGAGAATGGATGCGAGGCACTCCTGCGGAAGGTCTTCAACCCTATTGGTGCAGCAACGAATGAGCAACCAGGGCGACCCTCCAGACACGCAGTCTAAGAGTGATAGATCAGCGACACGAAGTCGACTAATCAGGGTTTGAACGGCACGAAGCCAGTTCAGATGCCAAGAGAGGGCCGGGAGTCGGAGTTGAGGCTGGAAGTTGACAGCCACGACGATCTAATGAGGAGGCAGTGGTGGGCTGGAAGTTGAGGGCGACGACGATCTAATGAGGAGGCAGGACGATAGAGGCAGTGATGAAGAGTTGAACAAAGTTGGGACTTTCCCACAATTGCACTTGCTACCCAGATTCAATCGGAATTTCATTGGGGATTTTCCCACTGCGTTTCTATTCAATTCCTTACATTTCTATCTACCGCCATTCATCCTTCCTCTTCTCTCTTCTCATCATCCTTCCTCTCTCTCTCTCATCCTGCCTCACTAGATCGTTGTCGCCCTCAACTTCCAGCCTCAACTCCCGACTCCCAGCCCTCTCTTGGCATCTGAACTGGCTTCGTGCCGTTCAAACCCTGATTAGTTGACTTCGTGTCGCTGATCTATCACTCTTAGACTGCGTGTCTGGAGGGTCGCCCTGGTTCTCATTCATTGCTGCACCAATAGGGTTGAAGACCTTCTGCGGGAGTGCCTCGCATCTGTTCTCTGCCCGGTGTGTCGTGTTTCTCTTCTTTCATCTTGACTTTCAGTCTTTCACCAGTGAGCGTACATATTTTCTCTTAACTACTTCTGCTGATCTGCCTTCACATGTCCTTTGCATGGTATCATTGCTGTCATTGTGAGCAGCGACACAAACTCTCACGATCATATTCCACAACGCAACACAAGGTACGTTGACTTTCGCTTTCGTTACAGACATCCACTTACGATTTGTAGCATTCATCATGCCCAATGCTCTGACATTGTTTAAGTCGAATTGCACGCTCTCAGACAGTACGTATTTGTCAATCTATCTCTGTCATGCACTGATGCTTATGTTTACAACAGGTTGGTTGCAAGCTTTCGATGCCCGCGCTGTCGCTGTGCAGGGAAATTTAGTCATTACGATGCCCAACATGCACTTCGTTCCAGAGTTTTACCACTTTGAAGAAGAAGACCTACAAGCCCGGGCAGATGGTCGCTTCGGCGTTATCGATTGCTTCCAGTGGCCTCAGTCTTACGATGACTCTTTTTGTCATGCTGTTTGCATTCCTCGAAAGGAGGCATTTCCATTCCCGCATCCGCTACATTGGGCCTGGTTCACCCCTAGCCGGGATGACCTTAAGTCCATTCCAGGGAATTCATTTCCTGTAGGCACGCTGGCTCCTGATAAGGTCGATGGCTTGCAGTCCCTTCTCAAACTGGCTGAGCAACGAGGAGTCTGCGATTACAGAAAGGATCAGCCGGACAGAGGTCAAATCATATACAGTCGCCTCTTGTACCTCCTTCATGCCATCGCACGGTTGAAGTCCCACCCCCTTACTTTTCGAGATCTCCTCATTTTTGTCACCGACGCTCAGCGCCTCTTTCTCGACATATACTCTTACATTGACTGGGTACTCATCGCCCAACCTCATACCACTTTCGGTGTTCGCCATGAGGTCAACTTAGGATGGATGGGGGGGTTCGCGCAGAGCAGCGACATCTGTGAGAAGTTATTCTGCGCTGGCGTCCCAGCTTGGTATGTCCGTGCAAGTGCATACATACCCCCGAAAATGATGGTCGTTGAACCGGTCTTACTCACACGCCCGGATCACAGCATTATTGCCATGTACGCAGAGGGCAGAAAAATCCGCCCATTTGAAGTCATCTACCGCGGTCAAGGTGGTCGCAATCGTCATACGCACATTCGCCGCCTATATGCAGGCACGACATACCAAGATCCCGAGTCTGACAAATCCTCTCAACCATTGTCCAGCTCAAGTCGTCCTGCTTCTGGTCCCAAATTATCTGCTCTTGGCAAGGCGCCTAAACAGAAGGGTAAACAACAGCACCGGCCTTGTATGTACCCTTTTTCCTTTGTATATGTTGCATACTCACGCAATTTTCAGACTTCATCGAAGCTCGCCCTACACAGTCAGGTGAATCTAGGGATAAGTGGAAAGATCCCAAGACTCCTTTCCTTCCACCGCCGAACCTGCATTGGGATGGCGCCATGAAAACTGCCATTAAGGACCAGTCTCGTGTTCACACACCCTACATTATTGATCGGGGGTATAGATTCCCCGAACCCGCTCTCCTCATTGGTCCCAAGTTGCCTGAACGATTGCAACTATACCTTGCCAACTGGCTCGCTGCTCGTCCACTGTGGATTGGCCGAGTTGACCATGATCCTCCACGCACTTATCCCACTCCTCAGCTCTGGCGCGATTTCCTCAGTAGCGTCCCTTCTGTCCAACCACAATCTTCCAAAGGGAAAGAGCCAGATGGAAAGAGTCTCACAGCCACCGAGAAGGGGAAGCGAGCAATGCGGGACTTATTCGGCGATGACCTGTTGGAAACTCAGGGTGATATATTTTCGCCAGAAGGAGTTGTTAAATTTCGGGGTGAACAAGTCTCCATCGCTAGTCTCGCCACCCCTCCTTCGCTTCTGGTTCAGAAGATCACCTGGGAGTTATTTGAACTTGGCTTTCGGTACGAGTTGAGGGATCTTGATTGTTACTTGGCATGGGGATGTTGGAACAATGATGCTGTTGGTCGCGAGCAGCTCCTCCATAGCATCTTCCCGGGCGAGGCTGGTTTGGTGATGTGGTCGGAGTCGTTTCTGTCGGAGAACTATGGGTTGTGGAACAACACCTTGATGGGTTGTCTTCCTTACCTTGAGAATTTCCGGAGACTGCTTTGCGATTGGGATGATGTTCCGCCTTGTCTTACGACACCACTGACCTCGGACAATTTCACAGATACATACTCCTGGGAAGTCAGGCACACGGCGGCGACGTTTTACGTTCAAACATTCTTCGATCATTTCGGCAGGCCTCCCATTGTGCCCCACTCGCTTCCCATGCAATCATAATCTCATAATTTCGCTGTTTTTGTCTTTGCCCGTAGCAATGTCTTGCGGTTTTGTTACCTCATCATTATATGTTTGATTGATGTTGCTGTATTCCTGCTAGTTGAATTTGCGTGACATAATCAGCGACACTGCCTCCAGCATAATTTGATGTTCCTGTGCAATGTAGGAAACTCCATTACTCAACTTTGTAGGGCCACAGCATGGACTTCAATTTGTAGGCTTCTCGTCCTCTCATCTGTTTGCTCTCATTCATGTATCCTCTGTTTCCAAGCTCCTTTTTCATTCTGCAAGTCCCATCAAAACATATATCTGGTTCAGTCGGTCGCACAACAAAATTCTCTTATTGGGTTAGCGCAGTTACTGACATAATTACATTATGACATTGAAATGCAGATGATGAGATGTCCGACTATGTAAGGTTCCTGACCCGAAGGACTTGCTCTGATGCGATTATGGACATTTGCCTTGAGGGCTTTGTCTTCCAACTCCCAGTGTATCCACCACCACCACCAGTTATTCCATTGAACTCTCCTCAACTGCCCGTCAGTCCACCCAGTGTCCACTACAATTAATCACTGCCATCGAACTCTGCTGGACTGCGCGTCCATGACTTGAGGTTCTCCAATTGACTTTGTGTCGTTGTTTCTCTTCCTTATAAGACTTCGGGTCTTAAGGAATTTCGTCATGGCGGTCCGCCGTCCGAAGCCTCGACGTCATAGAGCAACCACCCTTGGTTCACCATCGCCTCCGTCGACACAACAATCGAGCACTATTATTTGTGAACCTTGGATGGTCAAGAAATGGAAACGCCCCCGCGAGACTAAGAAGCTAAACCTTTATCTTCCTGGCCCGCCTCCTGTCTTGATTATGCCAGGACGACGACATTTATCACAGCAAATTCTACCTCGTTCATTGTCCATGTCTAGGACAGAACTAGAACACAAGGATGATGAAGCGACCATTCCATTCAGCGACTCCCTGCATTTCTCTGACCATCCTGTTCCCCGTCGTCTCACCAGCTCACAGAAAAGGGCCAATCAATGGCGCAGATGGTCAGAAGACATCATTCCGCGCATGATAGTGCCCTATCTATCTTATATTGAGGAGACTTTATCGCTACGCCATGCCAACATACCAGGAGAACACCATTCAAATGATGGAGAGTGCGGGACTGGGTGCAGAACTCGTAGTATCAAGGTTGCATGCGTACTTTTCGACGGTATGTTATCATCTTTCTTGTCTTCTAACTTTGGTCTGATGTACATTACAGCTTTCGAAGAAATCACCATCATCGCCTGTCCTTGTTTTCCCGCCCCGCTTCAGCTTCTTCGTCGCGGCCTTTTTCCATGTGCACCCATGGTTCCCTCTCTGGCAGTAGACTTACGAGTTCTGAAGTTCGTTCGCCTCCTCTTTGTTCGTCAGTCCCCCAACCAAACTGCTTGGTGCGATGCTCTGGAGACCTTTCTTGATGGAATGAGATACAAGTTGACATTGAAGGTCAGTATTTCCCTGCTCATGGGTGCGCCTGTATACTTAACCTTCTTTCAGAATAGCTTGCGGCGTCGCTTCAGCAATGTGTTTCACTGGTACTGGGTCTTGACTGTGTTGGCTCGGGATTACATCTCTACCCTCATTACTGATGCCCGGAAGGACGGTTCTTGTGTGGACCAGCCTAGTGAGTATCTTTGTTCACAGTGCCCACTCTGTTTCGGAGGGAACAATTGGCGAAACGAAGTGAGAGGTTCTCCTTCCATGTGCGTCATCTATTATGACTCTACTGCACCAGTTGACCATTTCCAGGCCAAATATTATTGTGTGCATTGACGCATGCTTCACACAAAAATGTTCCACAAATCCTCACGGTGCTACTGGCAACGATCCTCTTAACCCAACATCGTCTTTCTTTCTACCAATGGCCGATGTGAACGCAATGGAAGATTTTGTTCAAAGGTGTCGTGGAGAAAGTCGTCAAGCAAGGGCCTCCAGGGCGGAGCCAGACAAAGATTGCTATGAAGAGGGCATGTGTGTACCAGTGTCGGTCTTGAACGGGTGTGGAGACTCTTTCATCGCTGCAGACGAAAAGCGAGAGAAGGCAAGTACTCGCTTCTTTACCGATACAGGCCTGATGGCCTTGCTTTGTAGACACGATCGTGTACTGTGGGTCGTGAACCTCACATCGGCGGGAGAAAAACAACACTATGCGCTTGCTCTATTGGATCGGTTGTTTGAACATCTCCCTGCTCAGATGACCATTGGGCTTCTATATGACATTGGATGCCAGCTCGAACGGAGCTGTCGCAAGTGGAAGTTCATGGACAACTCTATTCTATCTCGCATTGCGTTTGCTGTTGCCGTATTCCATGCCTATGGTCACCAGTGGCCTTGTCAGATTGTGTACCACCCCAGGAAGCGAGAAGGATTCGGACTGTCTGACAGTGAAGGATGCGAACGACTGTGGAGTTTCCTCAAGCCCCTCATCCCCTCCTTGTGTGTTTCTGGGGTACGTATGATCTATTCGTATCATTCTATGTATCTTACTCTTCGCTATGAAGTTTAATCAGCGGCTTTTCGTCCTCGACACACAAATTCGTCATCTGGACTCAAAATCATTACAAGGGTTTGGACATTGGCTCCATCGGCACTGGATCCACTGTCAAATAAAGAAAAACGGTGCACTGGACAGTCTACATGACTTACAGGTGGACGAACATATGCTTCGTGTAGAATGGAAGGCTCAGGTTGATTACCAGACGAAACCCGCACCACGTACGTCTGTAATAACCAAATGTTCTAAGAGTCCTGAACTGAACCTTACATAGGACAATCTAGAAACAAGGCGGCGGAGGTGATTACTACCATCCTAGCACTGGAGAAGACCCTAGAAGCTCAGGAGGCTTCTATTCGTGAGCTCGAGATGCAGCTCCATGGTGGCCGTGTCCCTGACATTGTCGAGTTCAACCTGCAGCTGGCAGACATCCGCTCACGGCGAGCGAAAACTGCTGACTCTCTCCGACGATGACGAGCTGCGCTTGGAACAGAGGACAAGGTCAACCTGGAGAAGATGAAGAAGGATGTTTATCTTATGGTTCACTTGAATGCCCTTGCAGTCAAAACTCGTATTCGCGACCGCCTTCGTCAACGCAAGTTTGAGTTTGAGAGACTTGAGAGATCGTACAGAGCAACAATCAATGGTGCGTTGACGATTTGACCGGACTGGTGCACGTCTCACAATTTTCCAGCTGAGCACAAGCTTCATGCCAATACTCAGCAGTCGATCAAGCGGTGAGAGCCCGGCATCCTCAAATTAGTTTCAACGTACAATGGTTTGTGTTATCAACTACGATCTCTTATACGCCAGCGTCGAGCACCTCCTTATGCTGTTATGCCTCACATCATCCCACGTGATGGCATCTTTCTGCTTGATGTTGATGATGACATCTGGCAAGATGTCGGGCTTGATGATGACACTATAGCGCCGCCAGCATGGCTATCAGATGATGCCGTCCGAAATGGTATCCGCTTGCAACTTGAGGTTGATCGGTGCATGGAGGAGGAAGCTCAACTGATGCATGAGAGGGCTGTCATTCAAGAATGGATGTTGGCGGAGTGGGGGGCCATAAGAGGTGCCTCGAACAATGCAGGTATGTGTGTCCTTACAATGTTATCAATGGTTGTTAGTGACGTTGCAGTGACAGACACAGTCTGAACTTGTCAACATATGTTTAGTCTGGAAGAAAAAGGTTCAGTGTATTCCTTGCGCATGGCCAGTTGGTGAGAGCTGGGGACCCTCTGACGAAGCATTGCTTCAGGCCGCTCGTGATCAAGCGCAGTCATCCTTTCGTGATGAGGATGATGCCGAGAGTGTGGAAGGGGAGGAAGGTGATTGCGAGGGAGACCTGGAATATGGTGAGATCGGAGACGAGGAACTGATGGATGCTATTGAAGACATTGCACTAGTGGACGAGTACAGGTATGATCACAGTAATGAGTTATTGGATGACACGGATGACATTGATGATCACTTTATGCCTTCCTCCCCTATTAAATTGTTAAATAAATGTCGGTGCATATAGAATTTATAGTTTTTGGTCCTCCATTAAATTGTCAAATAAATGTTGGCGCATATAGAATTTATAGTTGTCACTTGGTTTTGGCTGACAGATGTGTTAGAATGTATTATACAGTAGCTATTAGTGATGTCTCAGCTCCAAACTGCATTTTTCAGAAAATGAGCATAACATGCTGGATAAAATTCCTAAATGCATGAAAATATTTATGCACATAGATTGAGCCAAAATCTGGGAGGCATCTAAGGGGAATTCTTACTGTTATGCATACATCACTAGTAGCAACCAATGGAGTACTTTTGAGCTACATCTACATATATATTCATTAATTGAGAGAAAATGAAGGTAGTAGCTGAGTGACATACTTGTTCTTCAGGAAGAATCGGACATGGTGTCTTCCTAGTAGAAATGGAGTAATTCTAGTTGGAATAGTCTGTTGAAGGGAAGGGGGGGGTGCAGTCTTCCCTATTGCATGAATAGTACACTTATGATCCATCCCATTAAGCCTGTGGTCTTCCCTATAGCATGAATAGTACACCTATGGTCTGTCCCAATGAGCCTGCGGTCTTCCCTATAGCATGCATATTACACCTATGGTCTGTCCCATTAAGCTTATGGTCTTCCCTATTGCAGGCACATCACACCTATGGTCCTTCCCATTAAGCTTCTGGTCTCGCCTGTTTATCATTTTTGCAATGCTGTGGTATGCCATCCCTATTCATCTATCTATGTGAAAGTCTGGAGTACTATAGACAAAGGTTGTAGTAACAATATTGGGTCCAATAGTATGTAAACGGCCATGAGGTACTGCAGCTAATGTGGTTAAACAGGGAGGAGCCCCCTACCAAGATGCAAGCAGAGTGAGCATTGAGGAGTGGGTGTGATGAACCAACATGTGTGTGGTTTGAAGTGTACGTACCAGTAGTGTTAGGTGGAACTGGACTGGGCATAGGACAGTTTTCCAGAGGATGTGAGCGGGTCCAGTGGGTATATAATGAAATCTGTTGTGGGTTATGCGCCTGGCATGTTGGAGATGACTGTAGGTTGTCTGGACAAAGTATACAATTTTGATATATTGTTCAATTATATAAAAAAAGATTCATTATGTTTATGGGGGGTCTAGGAGGCAGGGCACAGGTCACAGATGCAATCCACAAAGGTAGGGAAATTTGCCAAAAAATCATCATTTGAAGACCCCAGACACCCCTACGTTATAGGGAATTCAAGTGGTCCAAATCATCATATGGTACTCCCACAACATATTCCCAATGGTCTTTGGTCCCTAACAACAACAGGGAAAGACCACAGAACATTGGGTAGACCACCAGAAAAGTACCTCTTAGGTGAAAACCTCTATAGGTAGCAATCAACCTAAGAGGTGTCCAAAATGGGGTGACCAAAGTGCTGCAAACCTTCTTCTAATTCCAATTGTTGAAGTGATCATCTAAGGTGTCTCGCCTGGATCCGGGTCCCATCTCACAAGTACTTGTAGCGATGGGGTTGATATCTGCCCACCCGCGCTCTGGGGCTTCACCATCAGTCCGCCCGACACCCTTGATGAAGTTAAATGAGAATTTGGTTTGGCAACTGGCGATATGCACTGGTAGATGGAACTTAGGAACAAGGAATGTGACAACCTTGTGATTGTGGTCGATATGATACTGGTGTGGGAATGTCGACATGTGCGACCAAAGATTTTTATTCCACTGACAGGCAATATCATAAGATACGTTGAGGATGCGAATGTCTTGTGAAGAGCGCATGCTTGAAAAAAATAGATAGTCCATATTGATGTACCTATCAATGGTAGGTTCAGAAATGCGACTATGATATGTTAAATACAAGAAATTACCTTTCTCCTTTTTGTAAGTCACCAACTGAACACGGTCGTTTGAAATTGTGCCACGCACAATCAACTGTGCCTGCACCTGTTGCCGCAAGTCCACGCGAAGCCCTCGTATCTGCTAGGTTCACAGCAGAGTGGCTAGAACATGTGCTCTTCTACATTTAATCATGGTTAGCACCGTGTCTCAGGCGAGTGTATTAAACTTACCTCCTGGGGATTCCCCACCCTGTAGTGCGAAGCCAGAAAGTCCTTGTACGTGGTCTCCTCCACCAAAAATGCGTACCCATGATTCAGTCCAGGATCAACGGCATCTGACGATACATTACGCCAAACTAGTCGGAAATTTGCATCAATAGCCAGAAAAATTGCATATAAAAATCTGTGGCTGAGTTAAGAATGAAAATGAAAAACTTATATGGGTGTTCTCACTGGAATTCTGGTGGCGAATTTTCCCACCCAACAGGTAGATTCCTGCTTGGATGGGGACAGGCAGGGCATAAGACGGCACAAGCACCGGCCTCTGTTGCTTGGATGCCTCCAGGATGATGACCCTGACTGCAGCGCTTCATTTGCATCACGAAGCGCCATTCGCGTATCATCCGAAGAAGACTCGCATAACGATCCTAAGGGATACATGTCAGTAAAGATGTATTTGAATGCAAGATCACTTTGCCTACCTTTAGAACACGGGTGCCTGTGTTATCTGTGAGGCGAGCAACGGTATTATAAAACTCCCATGCCGATACTTTAGATTCAAAGGACAGCATTTGAAAATACTCTAGCACATGAAAGGTGGCGGCTGATTTAGGGTCCAGTGTGGTGGCGGGAAACAAGCAAACACGTAGCAACTGGGTGATGTGCGGCTGTGCAGACTCGCATCCACAGAAATTGAGTCCAACTTCATGGACACCATTGTAGTCAAGAATAACAAAGTCGTCATTGAATGTGGGGATCGGATTGACACATTGGACACCAATGGGATGCTCAAGCTGAAAGCGGACTCCCAAGGCCTTCAATGTGGTGGTCTGAAATGAGGTGCCATTCCAACACTGCGACTTTGTAAGTTCAAATTGATATTTGGAAACAAAAAGCATACATACCTCTATCCTGTGAAGCATTGCCCACGCATGGCCTTCCACTTACAGGCACAATCCCATTGCTCCATCAACATTCACTGCCGGTCTCTTTACCTGAACCTGCGCTGCCGGTCTCTTTGCCTGAACCTGCACTGCCAGTCTCTTTACCTGAACCTGCGCTGCCGGTCTCTTTACCTGAACCTGCACACCTTTCAGTCATATGACACTGTAAAACCCTGTCATAGGATGTGTACATTGGCCTGCAAAACCTGGCCTACCGGACACTGGCCGGTGTACGTATATCCAGGATCGGCCGACTATGTGAAATATGGACAGGCCAATGACTCTAGTAAAAATGATATATCTGCAGGACCTGGACAGGCCAGTGTCTCTACACACCTGTAGTACCTGGACAGGCTGGTGTTTCTAGTATACATGATGTATCTACAGGACCTGGACAGGCCAGTGTCTCTACATACCTGCAGTACCTGGACAGGCCGGTGTCTCTAGTATACATGATGTATCTGCAGGACCTGGACAGGCCGGTGTCTCTACATACCTGCAGTACCTGGACAGGCCAGTGTTTCTAGTATAAATGACAGATAGGCCAAACACTGTAGGGGCTAATGGTAGCTCTTGGATTAGTATGGTTTTGAAGGCACTTGAAGACCTCCATCCTCCAGTATAAAAAAATGGTAATATCTAAAATACAGTGCAGTGTAAACAATTTTGGATCAGTAACTAAACTATCCAAACATCATCAGTATTCAAGTTGGATCAAAGGATTGGGATGAGGTTATTACCTTTGATCCAACTTGAATACTGATGATAAAGGCTAATGAAAAAAATAATATAAAACCTACAAAATCTGTGCAATACACTAGTAGTACAGTTGTGACCCACAAAACAGTAACACATGCATGTAGAGGTGATGAGCCATCCTCACCCTGCATATCACTGTGATGGTGAATCTGTGAATATTCTAAAATATATACAGTGGCTAGGGCATCAATCTTGGGCTATTCAAAATTCACTGTACACTATGAAGGCCAGGTCATGCATAATCTACATCAAGTTATAGCCATTGATAGTGTACAGTGAATTGTGAAGAACCCAACATTCTGGTAGTCTGCCCCTGGCATATGTGAAGGGGAACAGCTGCCCCAAAGGTCAATACCGGCTGGCCCTGTATTTCGTTCTGTGCAAATGGGCCAGTTGCATAGGTTATGACCAATACTCCTGTGGGCCGGCCTGCTTCTACAATGTGAAAAGGGGGCTGGCCGCACCTATAGTGACCCATACCAATGAGGGCCGGCCTGGTTGTGCAGTCTGTGCAAATGGGCCAGCTGCATGGGTAATGGCCTATACTCCTGTGGGCCGGCCTGCTTCTACAATGTGAAAAGGGGGCTGGCTGCACCTATAGTGACTCATACCAATGAAGGCCGGCCTGGTTGTGCAGTCTGTGCAAATGGGCCAGCTGCATGAGTAATGACCTATATTCAAACATGTATGGCCAGTGCCATATTGAATATTTCTTTAAGTCTCAAGCACAGATATACAAAACATTGAATCAACTCTAAGCCATTGTGATACAAGATGTATGGAATGATATATCAAATATTTCAGACATTGTACTTCTTTGGAGGTGCTTTGTCTCTGACAGAACGACGAGGTGGATCAGGAGGGGAAGCTTTCACCTTTTTCTTGGTTGGTTCCTCCACATCTGCAGCAGGCCTCTTACCCTTCCCTTTAGCATTGGATTTCCTCACCCTCTTGTCCACCTTGCTTACTTTCTTAGCCAATCTTTCTTCTTCCTCAACCCTCTTCTCCTCCTCAGCCCTCTTCTCCTCCTCGACTCTCCTTTTCTCCTTCAACTTCCTTTTCTCCTCTGAATGCCTCTTCTCAATGTCTTTCCTCACAACAAACAACCCCAGGCTCTCATCTTTCAGCATGGCTTCTACTGCTGCCCCTATCTCTACAACCTTTTCCTCAATCTGGTCGCCCATCTGGATGCCCAAGATAGAGTTACCCAAGTAGTCAGGTACATCATCTCCAGCTTCGTCGGCTTCATACTCCTGAGCACGACAACACTCACGAAGTAGGAGTCCAAGTCCCAGGGCCACAACCATGCCCCATCCACGAGAATCGAACTGGTAGTTACTCAAATGCTCCAGGGCGACTGAGGCAATTTTCATATCCTCATGGATGTCTTGAGGCAGATATGCCTGAGACCATGTCCAAGAAGCCCAGACAGGAAGATGCTGTTTCCTTGACTTTGAATCTGTTCTTTGCTTTAAAAAAGACAAAATCAATGTAAAATCATGCGGTTAAGAGATCTGACATACCAGAAGCTTCTGAACCGCAGTAAGAAGACAATGATATGAAGGGACAGTAGAGAGAGACTTGAGGTAAGGGACCATGTCCCTAGCAAGATGGTATTTTGGGCTGGACTCAGGAATGGTCGGAGTCTCCACCTCGACGTCATCTTCATCTGAAGAGCTTTTACCGTTGGTGACCTTGTTCAAGAGTCCTTCCTCATCTGAAGAGACTTCAACATAGGCAGGCTTCGCCCTTGACTTGCCCTTTGCAGCTCCTTTCTTAGTGCGAGCATCATAGAAATCAGCTTGCCTATATCCAACAAAACGTACAATCGGCATGTCATGACTAGCACGGTCTTTCCAGTGGGAGTAGATTGCAGTGATCGTGTCCTTTTGCAGGTGGGAAGGATCCCTGATGACAACATTCTCAGGAATGCATCCTGAATCAAGGTAGTGAGTGGGATCGGTCGACATCTCACCCCAGGGCACCAGAGCCCTAGGATTGTTGGTAATAACAGCTGGGAAAAGTGAGTAAATGATACAATCACATAAGACAAATCAACTCACCGTAGGCCTTTTGAAAGACAGCCCGAACAAGCTGTTGTCTGTGCTTCAGCTTGAGACATACAAAGCCTGTGGGTAGGCAAGGATAACCATCATCATTGACCTCAACAGTGAGATCTGGGAGATTATTTTCATCGTCATCCTCTCCATCACTAACCTCTCCATCGGCTGACAGACTTTTAGCTACCATATTAAATTAAAAAATTAAAAGAGACATTTACCATATTCTCCTTTGAGAAGCCAGTTGGCAAGACGATCTTGAGCATGTTCTGCCCATTTCCGATTGTCTTTGGTCGCCTGAGTAAAAGGTTTTTTGGCCTTTTGTGGCGAAGTCTCCCAGCTTTAGAAACAAGTTAGTCATTATTAACAATATGAAGCATCAAAAACACTTACACAGTAGTTCCAGGAGCTTTTCCCTCACCTCAGTCATGGGCTGTAAGGATGACGACATGCAATCCCATGGTTCTCCGGACCATGTCTATAAAGTCCTCCACCATTTTTTTCTGGTTACAGGTACGGTATCTATTGATGTATTGTTGAGTTATATAGCATGTATGCCAATAGAATCTTGGGAAAAAAATACCTGTCCTTGGTATCTGCAGGAGGTCCTTCCTGGTTCTATTTTCCTGCAACTCGCTCAAGCTCCTTCTTCACCTCAGGGGACATGGCCTGGTGCCACATGCGGGCCAATCTTGTCCTCTGACCCATAGACTTTGGGTTGGAGGTATCTCTGTGCTGCTTGTCATATTCTGCAAATTCATCCTTAAATAATTTTTGGACGACATCAAAACCAGAGAATTCTGTCTTGTACTTCCCAGCATCCTCAGGCTTATCATCTTCCCTCTGTCTCACCATCTCTACAGTAACAGCATCTGGAGCAGATGTGTCCTTAGTTCCTCCCTCAATAATCTCTTCCTCTGCCTTGCGATCCTCATCATCTTCCAGGAAGTCCAAATAATAGGCACGAACAGCCTGTATTGATTAGATTAGTATAGAACACAATTATAAAAGCTCACCTTGCACAGATTTTTCTCAGGAAGCATGACACAAGGGTCTTTGGCTGCTTCACTGCTGCCTATAGCATCTTTGATTGTCTTGAGGATGCGAGCCCTGATGCCAGAATTTCCTTTAGCTGCTACAAAGGAATCTTTGTGTTCATTCAACACATTGCTAAAAACAAGAGTCCAGCTGGCCATTATATCTGACAAATAAGAATCACAGGGATGCAGGCCAGTACAAGTTTGCAGATGTACTGTTGGACCAGACTTCATTGTTGAAAAACTCAACATTACAAACAAGGTCATGTGACAAACACGGTCATGTGACATTTATGTTGACAATTTTCACTATATTCAAAATCCACAAAGTGCATCTACCAAAGTTTCATTCACAAACAACCAAACATTATTGTCTAAAGCTAAGACATATATGAAGTGACCAAATTTGAGTAATCAAAGAAAGAAATGTACATAATCAAGTCAACAATGGCTTCAAAGGTACATGCATCCATGAACACCCTTGCTTCCTACCTGATGTCAACATGGTGGCCCCTTCAGGAGGGCTGAAGGTGAAAGACTGGGTGCAGGTGTCATTCTTGCACTCAAAGATATAGACCTTATCCTTGCAAGCCCTCACAAAGACTGACCTCCAACAATCAGTCCACCCACAGCTTGGGCATTGGATTGGCAGGAAGCCACCCCAAGGCCGGGACTTGACATCAGCCCATACAAACTTGGAGACCTTCAGACTACCCACAAGTGGTGTCAGTAAGAAGACGTCAGTGTGGCGACCGAGTTTGTAAGCTTGCACCAGCATGTCACCAAATGCGAGGCCAATGGGGCAACGTTCCACAAGGACTTGTTCAGTGAATGCCAGGAGCAAATGGGACGCAAAAGATGGTTGAAAACGTGCGGCGTTGAATGTGACTGTGGCAGAGAGCTTGTGACTGTTGGAATGTCAGATAAGATAAAAATGCAATTTAAATGAACTTACTGAACTACTGTGCGTTGCAATCCTGCAAACGAGTCACTGTTGTTGACAATTGTGCCGCAGCACAAGAGCCACAGGTAGGTTTCGTCCGCATGGTCCAGGAGAGATTGCCATGGACTAAGGATACCCTCCAAGAACTTCAAGTCTCTAGTTAGTAATCAGCGGCAGAAAAATTTAACAAAAAACTTACATCTTCAGTTGGGGCGCCAGCATAGTGCTTCTCGCCATCCAAACTGTACCCGGCAAAAGGATCACCTGAATCATTGTCAGTGTGAGTGGATATACCAACCACCACACGTTCCCATGCGAACGAGTTTTTGAGGTCCTTGATGATTTGACAGATGGTTTTGCGGTAACCGGACGCGTCAGAGACAATGTTGTAGGCGATCTCATGATATTTGATGCCGCTGCTGGTGAAGTAGGGCTGAAGGAATGAATGAGCCAAGGAGAAAGGGCTGGCCGTAGTGTTGAAGTCGACAAGGATGAGGTGAATGAATATCACCGGTGCCGCTGAAAGTTCAGCATGCGATGAGAGCTCGAGGGAAGCGTGGACCTGTAGAAAAGACTTGAGGACTGGGACACCATTAGCGTGATAGAAGCCCTGTCATAGTATTAGTTGTAAATGAACAAATGATGAAAACAAAACACTTACATAGTACGGTGCGCCCTGCTGTTCCAGGGCGATGTGACAACATATGCACTTAAAAGACACGTCCTCATTGAGGATCGTGTCTTCAGTGCCCGGAGGGAGGCGCATACACAGGCGGCACATCACTCTGGGGCAGTGGTTGCACATAAAGAGTGTATTCTCTTTAAATGATGCAGAGCCATCCCGGCAGAGGATACAGAACTGTTGGGAGAAGAAGGTACATTAGCACACATACAGCAAGAAACAAAAGACTTACCTCATTGTGATGAACCGGTTTGGACATCTCCAAACTTTGGCCCCCAGCCAGCTCTCTAGAAAGGCTCTTGGCGGCGGTCTTGAGTATGTTAAGGTGTACGCGTGGCGCTGAGCCACCAGTGCACTTCTTTGCAGTGTTTTTGGTGCGCGCCATGATAGAGAACCTAAAATTGTAGTTAGTATGCCACAGCACCACACAACAACAATAAAAACTCACTAGTAACGAAAGAGACGCGTTGACAAGAGACGCGCGTCCACAAAACACGTGTTAACGAAAGATAGAACTAAATTTGTAGTTAGTATGCGACAGCGCCACAGAAAAAGAACAAAAACTCACCAGAAATGAAAGAGACACGTTGACAAGAGACACGTGTCCACAAAACGCGTGTTGACGAAAGATAGAACTAAATTTGTAGTTAGTATGCGACAGCGCCACAGAAAAAGAACAAAAACTCACCAGAAACGAAAGAGACGCGTTGACAAGAGACGCGCGTCCACAAAACGTGTGTTGACGAAAGATTGAACTAAAATTGTAGTTAATTTGCCACTGCGCCACAGAATAACAACAAAAACTCACCAGTAGCAAAAGAGACACGTTTACAATAAACACGCGTCCACAAAACACGCGCGTTGAGCAAACGTTGGCTGAAATAGTAGTCAGTATGGTCACATAGTCACAAACAAAAGAAATAAAACTTACAAGTGACGAAGACACGTTGACAATAGAGACGCGTCCACAAAACACGCGCGTTGAGCAAACGTTGGCCTGAAATAGTAGTCAGTATGTCACATAGTCACAAACAAAAGAAATAAAACTTACAAGTGACGAAGACGCGTTGACAATAGAGACGCGTCCATAAAACACGCGCGTTGAGCAAACGTTGGCCTGAAATAGTAGTCAGTATGTTACATAGTCACAAACAAAAGAAATAAAACTTACAAGTGACGAAGGAGATGCGTTGACAATAGAGATACGTCCACAAAAGACAATTGTGCGCAAAAACCAACCACAATTGTGCACGTGATATTCCGGCAAAGTCCGAAAGTTGACTTGTGCAAATTTTGCACAAGTCAACTTTCGTACTTTGCCGGAAGATGTCAGCAAACAAGAACAAATCAACAAACAGTACATCAACCATTTCCATTTCTCCCACGGTTCGTTTCTTTCAACCTTTAACCATGTATTGCAACGCTACTCATCCTCCTTTACTCTACCATACCTTCCTTGCATCTGACCTTTGGCTACTTGCAGACTGCAGCTGCAAGTAGTCAAAGGCAGCGCTGCAGTCATCAAGCCCATAATAACAAGTAAGTTCTTTGTACATCCGCTTGACAATACTGATTTTTTTCATATTTATTTACAGTTCTTGTTAATAACTGGTGTGCTATCAAATTTGATAGCGCGCCTTAAAGGTGAGTCTTCTCATTCTGCCAGCGGCTCACTTTTCTTTAGTTTTTTTAGATATATTCTTGGCCATCCATGTCCCCAGGGACTGGCGCCTCTCACTTTGGGCTCTGGGGGATCTTTTTTGGCCATCCATGTCCCCAGGGACTGGCGCCTCTCACTTTGGGCTCTGGGGGATCTTTTTTGGCCATCCATGTCCCCAGGGACTGGCGCCTCTCACTTTGGGCTCTGGGGGATAATTTTTTGACCATCCATGTCCCCAGGGACTGGTGCCTTCATATATCTGTCTCTCCTGTTAAAATCTAATTTACTAACCTGCTCTCTAGCTTTATCAGATCCACTGAATTTTCCGGCTTGTTTTTTGTTTTGTTTTCAAGTCTGATTTGTGCTAACAGTGTTTTTTCAGCTTTATCTCACACATTGTCTGGTAGCGGTTTTGATGAGGTAAGTGTCTTTTCAAGATTCAAGATGATACTGATCTTTGCCATAGTTTTTGGTCTGCACTTGATGCGCCTCCCATTTTTTTTTGACATGTTTAATTCGGTAAGTGTCACTTTAATATTCAACATCATACTAACTATCATTACAGTTGGCTCATTATTAGTTTACTTTTTTACTTTGCTTCATTTACTGTAGGGTGCAAGGCTAGGATGGAGAGGGCCCCTCCATCCCTGTCTTGCATTATTTACCTTAGTTTTTTCTATCTTAGTTTTTTCGACTCCGACTTGTACTTTGCTTGGTGTAGAACATAGACTAAATGTATCACCCTTGTATGGGCATATTCTGGACATGTGACTCATAACTTTTTGCCCAAAAATTAAGTCACGTGATCGTGAGAGTAATGCAAGGTGACATGCGCCTCACTGACTGCACCTCAATTAAAGTAAGTTTGGAAAGAATACAATCTGTTTGTTGCGAGCACATCATTTTTGTGAAGGGACAGGGCAGCTGCGCCCATGGTGTCATCAGTGAGGTTAAGCCAGCCTAGCTGATCACAGTCAGCCTCACTGAGAACACCACAGTCTAACAACCAGTCTTCTCCAGTAGAGTAAGTTTGATTATATATTGTTCGAGCCTCACTCATTTCAGATGCTCACCTTCTATATCTAATAGTGAAAGAAAGTGAATCGTTTCTGTTGTGAGTACATGGCAATGATGTACTCACAACAGAAACGATCCACTTTCTCTCACTTATAGATATAGAAAACAACAGGCTGGTCCAGCCTATGTAGTTCACCACCTTCTATATCTATGAGTGAAAGAAAGTGAATCGTTTCTGTTGCGAGTACATCATTGCCATGTACTCACAACAGAAACGATCCACTTTCTCTTGCTTATAGAAAACAACAGGCTGGTCCAGCCTATGTAGTTCACCACCTTCTATATCTATGAGGGAAAGAAAGTGAATTGTTTCTGTTGCGAGCACATCATTTTCATGGCAATGATATACAAGCAACAGAAACGATCCACTTTCTCTCTCTTATAGATATAGAAAAAAACAGGCTGGTTGAGCCTATGTAGTTCACCTTCTATATCTATGAGTGAAAGAAAGTGAATTGTTTCTGTTGCGAGCACATCATTTTCATGACTGTTGAGGTCAATGATATATCTATAAGTGAAAGAAAGTGAATCATTTCATTTTCATGGCACAGGGTGGCTGCCCCCATGGTGTTCTTAGTGGAGTAGAGCCAGCCTAGTTAATTGAGTCAGCCTCGCTCACAACACCACAATTAAAGTAAGTTTAATTGTCTACTGTCTCCTCTAGTAGAGCAAGTTTGATTGTCTATTGTTCGAGCCTCACACTTACTCTACTAGAGGAGACTAGCTATATGTGGTCCAATTTAAAATTTAATTAGGGTGTATTAGGCTATTACATAATGTGTTCTAATTACATCACAACTAAGTTCAGTCAACATGAGTCCGGAGCGCGAGAACTTTGGTTCACTTTTTTTCACTCATGAACCAAGTCAAAAGGCAGACAACTGAGGTTTTGGCAAGTCTTGACAGGAGGACCAGAGAGATAATGGGCAATTCATCTGAACTAGGGGTCCTAAAAGATGGGCCAAGTTCAAACAGAATTGCTGCAGAAAGGCTAGGAACTGTGGTTGCTGTATTCATTGCAGCCAGCTATTAATGACTGAGGAATCAAGGATGAGATAGGCGTACAGCTACAGCGATGCTTGGCCATACCCGGTGTAAGCCTTGAACTTTGTTATACCGATCAATTTCGCTAGATATGAAATTGACAATGGGCCTGGCTCCTTACGGCATTGCCATGCCATGTTCAACCCTAGAGGGGTGGTAGGTTAATATTTAGGGTTGCACATGAATTTCATGGAGAATTCAGTCAATGTCAATTGGGATGTAGAAAGACCTAAAAAAAAAGCTATATGCTGACAAGGTCAATTGTCACAA